TTTTAAAAATAAAATAAAAATAAATAAAGAGAGAAAGAAAAAGAAACAAGTATCTCAGGTCGGGTGCTGCATACCAAAATATGGAGGAAACTCACTTTAAATCCACACGTTTGTTCCTCATTTGCTTTTCTCAAGCCCATGTCTTGTCCCCAGGCCTCGACAAGAAGTAGCTGACTTCCTGTACTCTAAACCTTCATGATCAAAGCCTTCTCCCCATTACCTTGGCATTCCCCATTTCATTGAAAATAACAACGCCAGTGCTTCGATGATCCAAATGTCTACAGTTAAAAAAAAAAACTATAAAATGCTATGCTGAGTGTATGATAGCTCACTGCATATTCTAATTTTCAATGGGTATCTACTGGAAGCAGATGTTAACATGTCAAAATCATCACAGACACCTAGTACCACAAGTCCCTAATTTATAAACTAAACTTTTATCATAGGAATGTGCACACAGTACAGGCAGAACCACAGGGAGTCCCTACACTTACTCCCACCAGCTAAAGGAGGGGAGGAGAGACAGTACTTATATGTCCATGCTAGGTTTCCAAATTCATCATCATATTTGTTCTTCTAAATACCTTTTGGGTAAATAGTATTATTATCACTAATATAATTTCACTTTATGGTAAAAGAAACTTCCATTCTTACCCAGAGTCAGAGAGTTATAGATGTCGAGATAAAATTAAGGAGCCCATACTCTGCAATCACAGCCAAACAAGCTTTGTGCATACATACGAACATGTACATATATGTGTTTGTGTGTGTGTGTACATGTACAAATGGGTACATTTGCACATGTGTACATTTGCATGTCAAGGCCAGAGGCCAACATCAGGTGTATTTCTCTATCATGCTCCACCCTATTTTTTTTTATTAAATTGTGTGTATATGTGTGTTTGTGTGTGTGTATGCTCAGCATGTCAAGGAGACCCTCTGGAGATCAGAAGACAACTTGCCAGATTTGACTCTCTTCTACCACCATGTGGGTCTTGGGGATCAAACTCATGTTATCAGCCTTGGCAGCAAGTGTCTTCACTCACTGAGCCATCTTTCCAGCCCCTCCACTTTTTCATTTTGAGATAAAGTCTCTCACTGAACCTGGAACTTAGTACTGCGGCAAAGCTGGCTGCCTAATTAGCTTCAGTGATCACCTGTTTCTGTCCCACTCCAGAGCTAGGGAAACAGACACATAACCCTGCATGGGTGCCTGGCAAAGCACTGTCCTCAGACCTGTGCAGAAGGCATGTTATTGACTGAGCCATTTTGCCAGCCCACAAATCAGCTTCAAGGCTAGATAAGAAGAATGATTTTGTGAATTTCCAAATTCTAAAGGGCATTAAAATAATTCCAACCATAATTTGAGAATTTTGCATTCATTCCAAGCTACTAATATATAAAGCAGGAAGATGAATAAGTTGTTTGACATGAATCTCTTTCTGCCATATATCGTGTATGTGTGTTTGAGTGTGCACATGTGTGCACATATGTGAAATTCAGACACCTAAAAGTAAGTAGTCACAATTTATTTAAACTGTCTTTGTTGGATGGACATAAAAGCACATTTTTTACTATCTAAACTATAAATATGAAAAATTCCAGTTCAGAAAAATCACAAAAGAAAACATAGACAAGAAGAGAATAATTCATAACAGAAAACATTTGTATTTTTCAGAATATTAATGCTACTATGCAGCACAAATAGGGCATCTTCTCTGACAAAAAAAGTTTGCTATCAAGACCTTCTCATCCATCATAAAATAAATATTCCAATACTTCACACTTTGAAAATGTCCTAACTAATTGCCAAGTGCTGGGCTCCAAGTCGCTGGAATGTTTGGTAGTTAGTGTGGCCTCTATGCATATAAACATTGGTGATTTTTTAAAGTAATATTTCAGAAATGGGAGCCATGACAAAAGACATAAGTGAAAAAAAATGGTATTTTCAATATGCAATAGAAAGAAAGGAACTCAATAATGTTGTAGTCAGTATATTTTGTGAGACATTTCAATATATATGGGACCGTAGAAAGCACAAGTAAGTACGATGAGAAGGAAAGAGATCTTTACAGGGTGTCACAATAATAAATAATTTACACAGCAATTTAGCAACCTCAGCGGGCAGCACTTACAGGGCTGTGGTAGGGAACGGAGTCTGTATTTGAGGAGAGGCGTGGGATCAATACAAGGAGTAAGCTGTCAGTGTTTTCTATAGTATCAATACCTCAGACTGGCTGCTTTCACTGGTGCGCGCCTGTGGAAACAATTTCCAAAAGTATACTATTGAGTGACATGATGCATGGATTAAATGATTTACTTTAATCCCCTCACTGCATATTGAAAGAGCAATAGCCCAAAAGTAATACTACACAGCCTGAGAATGAAGTAACCTGCAATAACCAAGTGATCTAAAATGGTTACTTAAGAGAATCCTAGTGTCATTGCAAGGTGTGTCCGGAACAAACGTAAACAAGAAGTGGCCACAGTAGACATATACCATCCAAGTAACAAGAGGATCTTTCACAAAATTGAGAGAGCTGATTACATAGATTTATTGGTCACCTTCTTTGTCAGCTATCAGATAAAAAAGTGGTCTGATTTGGTAGCAGCAATAAGCAGTCCTAACTGTTCTCAGTTTGTATCTAGGTGCATGTATGTAGGTAACAAAAAAGGCTGAGTCTAAACCTCAAACACAGTCCTAGCACTACATAATGAGGCACAATAAATTTCTCATTAAATAAGTGGTAAGCAAAGAACAAGAGTCAGACCCAGAGACAAACATAAAAAACCATTCAGCCAAGGAGACAGGTAAAAAGTTACCTCTCAGGTTGGCTCAGCAGGTAAGGGCTCTTGCTGCCAAGCTTCACCTCAACGTCCTGAACCCATATAGTGGAAGACGAGAACCAACCCTAGCAAGTAGTCTGTAAGTGTGCCCACACCTCCCCGACCAAAAAATATAATATATATCATATATGATATATATATAATGTCATATCAAAGTTCACATCCAACATTGATATATGACTGAGATCTTCCAAAATAGGAAGCTGAGAATAACTGAGCTCTAATGCCTTCCAGCAGGGACAGTTCTTGGATTATAAACAGGAGTGAGTGCTCAGCATTACTGCAGGTTGATGACTTGAGTGGATTGTTACACATGTGGGAACACTTGCCTTTAAATAGCTGGTGAAGTGAGCTGCAAATCTGAGAGCCCCTTTCCTTTCCCATGGCTTTGCTTTGTTGCCTCACATGTGGAAAAGATGGAAGAGATGTCGTCCCCTCACAGCTCCCTCACTAACAACAAGCTACCTGAAGCATGGGCTCAACCAATGTAAGATTCTATAGTGGCCTTAGTATTTTTCTGGAAATTCACCCTGTGCTTTGGAAACTGTCCAGCATCCTTTGCTCCTTGACTCAGCATGTGATCAGTGTGAACAATAACATGCAGTCAGAAAGCTACGAATGTGTAACTGGAGGTGGAACCTGAACTGAAGTGACCTTGCAGACCAGTAAAAACTTTCCTAAGAAAGAACACTGGAGTGAGAACTTGGAGAAGCTGTGACGCAAAGACAGGCAGCACAGGAATAATAGGGAGAGCATTCTAGGAAGGTCTGAGCTGGGTAGAAGCTTTACGTTTAGAGATCTCAGAGACACGTATATATGTTTCCTTAGAATAATCAAAAGCTCTCTGTATCAGTACATGTGTGTCTTCATCCTCTTCTTTTCACAAAAAGAAAATACTATCAATTTTGTCAAATTTTATTTCACCAACCAGTAAAAATTTAAAATCTCCAAAGTAGTATTTCACTAGACCTCCCTAGGCTGAACATTCTGTAACTATGTCTTTCAACCTGCAATGACAATAATAAAGATGATCATAATAAGGTTTGGCTATTCATGTGAAAGTGCCCAGGAAACTGCAATGTAAAGTCATTCTTGGCTTTCTTCTAATTTAATAAATTATTTTATGTGTATGAGCATTTTGTCTGCATGGATGCATGTGTACCCCTGCATGCAATACCCATGGAGGCCAGAAGAGGGTATCAGAGCTCCTAGAAGTAGAGTTAGGGATGGTTGCTAGCTGCCATGTGGGGACTGGGAACTGAACTCTGGTCCTCTGCAAAAGCAGCTGTTGCTCTTAACCACTGAGCCATCTCTCCATCCTCACCAGGTCATTTTCATTGATGCCAATGCAGTTGCTTATTTACAGACATTAACACAGAGATGACAGGTCTAAGAAGCAATAATAGTATTTATTAAGAAACTTGCCCATTAGTGGGTATTATTATAATAAATTTTAGAGACTATCTGGTACAAAATTAATATTATGTATGTATCTCTGTTCAACTTAAAATTTACCATCTTTCATTTTTTTAATGGGAATAATCAGATGATTCATTATCTAAGCCCAACTTTAGATGAACCATAGTGAACTTCAGTGAAGAAAATCCACATAAAGTAGTTTTTAGGAGAGAGAAACCAAGGAGTCACCAGAGGGCTTTAGCCTGCATGGCCACCTGGTGAGATCCAGGGGGCAGTGTAACAAAGGCTGAGGGAAGTGGCTGCATCCAGGTGCACTTGCCCAGGGCTTGGCCCATGGAACTTAGAGTGCTGAATAGGGGGGAATGTTCTGTATTAGCAAGACAAAACCTCTGCCTGCTTTATGTTAATAGACCTGTTAAAGAAGAAGCTGTGGAGTCCAGCAGATCTGTTCCCGGCCATCCAAACCTCTTATACTCTCAAATTGTGTTGGAAAGACACATCTCTGAACAGATGTTAAGAAAATAATGTCAGTAAACTTATCTGAGCTACTTGAAATAAATGAATAAACATCTTAAGGGATCAACAATCATTTCTCGGAAATATCATCTTGTATTTAATAAAATGTAACCGTGGTAAAATATTGGCTATTTCCTCATAACTCTCGTCAGATCATAAACATTGATTTCTGGTTGTGTGATGATGCTTTCACTTGCTCGGCTCTCATGCAATTGAGTTTAGCATTGTTCTGTCCTTTGTACTGAATGTCCAGGACTGCTTATTACTCTGTTATTTAGTGATTGGCAGACTAAACGATACAAACTAGAGCTAGATGAAATGCCTACAATCACATAGAAGAAGCAGCTCAACTTCTCGCTTTGGCCTGAGCTGACAGTCCTGCTCTTTCCAGTTCCAGCTTCTACCAGATGGGGCTGGGCGGGCTGACAGAGGGGGAAAATCATCCTGTCCAGCTCAAGGAAGAGAAGGTGATTTTCCCCAAATCCGGATTTAATTTCACTGCATATATTATATGCCTTCCAGTTAAACTTGTTAAAGTTTCACATTATTAATTCCCATTAACGTTTTTATTATTTAAATAAAAACTGAAAGTTATTGCTTATATCCTAGAAATAAGAAAAATACTACCTAATAGATAATTAAGCATACATTGCATAGAAAATATTTTATTCTTAAAGTAACAGAATTTTTATCCCAAGACAAACCTTACATAATTACCCAAAAGTCTAAAAATTATAGATTTTTAATCATGAACCTTCATGATATGCTTTTTGTTTTTCAGGCAATATGATATATCCTAACCAAATAAAGTGTCACTAAGGACTATTTTTTTTTAAATGATGCAAAGAAATTTGAAAGCACTACAATGGAAAAATCTTCTAGAAATATAGAATTGATCAAAACTCAGTACAAAGTATATAGAATTAGCTGGGCTTCGTGGTTTAGATCTTTAATCCCAGAACACTTTGGAGGCAAAGGCAGGCTGATCTCTGCATGAAATCAATGGTTTAATAAGCATCATATGCAGGCCACGTTTAGGTGCAGTAATCTAAGAACTGTTCACTGGCAATTATTTCAGCTTAAGGTGAAAACAATAATTTTGCTCCACTCATGAGTAAAACGTAAAGCTATAATCAAGGAAATTGATGTAGCTTTTAATAAAGGTCATAGGTTGGTCAGAGACAAGCTTGAGAAATCTATTGGAAAAGAGAATAATATTTAACTTAGCAAATACTGAGGACCACCTTATTCCAGGCACTTTACAAGTTTCCTTCATCCCCTTCCTCACTTAATCCAAATCTTGGGAGACATATGTTTTTAAAATGAGAAAACAGAATTTAAAAGTACAGTAACTTGAGCAAGGTATATTTCCCTTGTGATCGCATCATACTTTTGAAAGTACCAATTCTTTAATATTTGGGGTGGGCTCATAGCTCCTGTGTTCCTAGACTACTTCTTGAATTGTTACTTCTTAAATTTGACTATTTCCTTAGTAAAAAGTTGCTTCTTGGGAAATCCTCTGTAGATAGACGTGGATTTCACTTTCCGAAAGGTGCTTTGTGTCTTCGATTTCTGTGGAAGTGTTAAGAATTAATATACTCAGGAGTTCCCTTGGAAGGTTTTCATCACTTTGTTCCCAGAATTGCTTGATTTTATGTATCTGAAGTCAAATGGTTTACTCTTTCAAAATAAGATAACTTTTACAAAATATTTAAAATTCTTTAAGCAAAACTGGCAAGCGCTTCTCTTGCACGTACATAAATTCTACAGAAGATGTTGTCAGGTAAAGAGGACAACTAAAGGTGACAGGACAAAGAGTTTAAAGGGCGAAATTCATTGTAAAACTCAACAATCTCCAGTTTTACTTTAAACGTAAGTAAGTCAGATTAGTGACCACCTTAGTAAACTATTCCTTTTGTATTTGTTTGTTGAGACAGGTGCTCTCTGTGTTGCCAGACTGGACATAAACTCATGAGTTCAAGTGATCCTCCACCCATCTGACTCTTAAATAGCTGAGACAATAGGCCAAGGACTAATGCACCTTGCATAAAATAAAATAAAAACATAAAATAATAAAATACAACAAACAACAACAGAAATGCTTTATGCTTAGTTTTCAAACTAAACCTGATCATGAATGCTTGGTGCTAATACTTGGCATGGACACTTGCTCCTCACGGGTATAGATTTCCTAAGGAATCTGCGGCTTCTCTCTGGCTTCCCTCCACTCATTTGTTCCTTGGCACTATGGTGGGCGAAGGGACTTACCTGGTTGGAAAATTAAACTAAGATCCATACCTCTGCTAACCTTTATCTTTGGGAGTGCATCTGCATGCAAGTTTACATAAATAATTAAAAGGGAAAAATTCCTAACATCTAATTTGTCAACAAAACAAAATACAATGTGAATAATCTAGAGTAGATGCCAAAATGAAGTTCTGAGCAACATCAGTTTTCAAAGCTAGCCTTCAGTTATTTTAGCTCACCACAATGCTAAGTGACACAGTCAGGTTTATTTTCTGGTAGTCCCAGCTTAACACTTTTAAGAAGAAACACAGGGGCTGGAGAGATGGCACAGTGGTTAAGAACACTGACTGCTCTTGCAGAAGACCCAGGTTCGAATCCCAGCATCCACATGGCAGCTAAAAACTGTCTGTAACTCCAGTCCCAGGAGATCCAACAGCCGCCTCTGTACTCCGCAGGCATTGCACTTACTTACATGCAAGCATAACACTCACACACATAAAATAAAATAATAGTAATAATAAATAAAATATAAAAAAAGAAGAAAAAACAGTCCTGATATTGACTAGCTGGTAGCAAGACACTGGAACAAACTTAGAAATTTCTCATTAGAAATTGAAAGTAAACTAGAAAATGACATACAAATTCCTAGTAGATACACAATATATTTTGCTTCCCTCTTTATAGTAAAAAAAAAGTAATATTATGGTCTACTGTAGATATTGAGACTAAAACTAGCACCTGAGCATTTTCTTGGCATTTTTTTAAAGAAAAACAATACACGAACAAATAAAAAAAGACCAACCTCATTGAAGCTGTAGGTTTTCAGCACTCATCAATATAACTGATTCATGAATCATTAGTGGGTCATAAAATAAGAAAGCTCAATAAAATAATTATAACTTCAAATGTTTATTTAGTTCTGAGACTTAAATGAGGGACCTTTGTACCAGACCATGCCTAGAGACAGTTTCCTTGCACACACAAACACACACACACACACACACACACACACACACACAAAACACATACAGATTTTTAATAATTCCATAGACTCACATATTCCTGTGATCACGTGACATCTATAATGCTTGATATCACAGGCTGTCTTTAATAAACAACAAAAGAGCATGATTTGATTTATTTTTAAAAAGTAACAACTTAAGGCATGTTTTCATGTTAAGATATAGTATTTTTAAAATGTTTACTCATGACTTAGAATGAGACATATAATTTTAATTTTGACCAAGTATGTACATAAGCATACTTGTAGGTTTTCTGTATGTATCATCTAAATCTAAATAATTTTCATGACATAATGATACTGACTTCTATCTGAAAATCATGATCCACAGAATCCAGTCCATTGTCCAACACCATGAGCAATAAACACTTTCATCCAATTTTCCATAATCTTGCTCTTTTCTAAGACTATTATAATTATGTGTCTTATTTAGTCATTTATTCACTGATTTAATTAAAAAACATTTTTCCTCTTTATTGAGAGTCTGGCATTTCTAACCTATCACAGAACCCAGAGGAGTAGAGCAAGCAAGCTGCTGTTCTGGAGCTTTCCTCAGAACTGAAACATTTCCTGTCTGCCAGAGTCTTATTAAAACTCAGGAAGTAAATAACTTACAAGGCTCAGAAACCTCCTGAAACCTAAGAGATTCATAAGGGCTCTCCCCAAAGTCGAATAAGCACTAACAATTGGGAAAGAGGACTTTGTAACAGCCACATTACCCTCAAGTTGTAAAGGAAATGCCAGGAATGCAGATTTTGTGAACGTTACCTGTGCTGGAATCTGCATGGCGGTGATGCAGTTGCCTTTGAGTCTCCCATGCTCCTCCAACTCCTCACCCATGCTCGGTAACTAACCCCAATAAACTCACTGGTTCATTAAGTTAGACTTAGGCAGAATATTGGTAAGCTTACAATTTTTTCTGAAAAGTATCCATACATTTGCCTCAAAATTCAATATCCCTTTGTGTCTAGGTGGCTGATATCCTAATTGGGGTAAACAAGCATTTGTTCACATATTATCAGGAAAAGTCACAAGCCCCCCAAATGATCACCTCGCTCCTCTCAGGGTACCCAACTTTCCCACTCATTTCATAGCTATACCATGTCCCTTTATCTTTCCTCATCCTTTTTACAGTGTGTTCCATCTACACAAATACACTGTGCTGTCTTTCTGAAATGGGGTTTTAATTGTCCTTCACTTAAAAAAGGAACCAAGAAAATAGAGATAAAAACCAACTAGCTGCTGTCTTAAATGTCTACTTACCAGCTTTATGAAGTCAGGCACCCAAGTCACTTCCCCTCTCTCAAATTCAGTTTCTTCATCTGTAAAATGAGAATTGGGCTATGTCAGTGATTTTCAAGTTCTACAAGAGAGAGTATTAAGTACTGGAAGAATTCTGAATACTTTGTGTGGGGGAGGGGGCGCAGATATGTGCATGAGTTTGCGCATGCCCATGCTCGTGCAGATGGAGGACAGGGAAGGATGTCACATGTCTTTTAGTGCTCTCCACCCTATGTTTTGAGATAGGGTCTCTCACTGAACCTGATTCTTGCCATTTCGGCTAGGCTGATTGGCCATGATCTTCTGGGACCTGCTAATCTTTACTGACCAAAGCTGAAGTCACCAGTACATACACCCATGCCTGATTTTTTTAAGTGAGTGCTGGGGATTCAAACTCAGGCCCTTAAGTTTGTATAGCAAGCTCTCTTACAAACTGAGCCATCTCCCCAGCATCCTGAATATGTTTTTAAATGATGAAATCTGAGTGCTCTTCGCTCTTGTTCCCTGCCTCTTATGGCACACAAATTCAAAATGGGAAGAAAAAAGTGAGTTGAAAGGAAAAGCAGGGTGGGAGGGATGACAAACGGAGAGCATGTAAGTTTGGAATATCCCATGTTAGGAGTGTCTATAAAATCAGCCAAGTATGCAGTCTAATTTTCAACAGCTGCAGAAGTTATATCATTTGCCTATTTTTCATAAGAAAATGCAACTCAGAAAATTTGTCTATCATCCTCAAGTGCTATGATTAAGACGCAAAGATACGCATCTGTTTTCTTTCAATAACCCCAAGCTTCCCTTGTAATAAGCTAACCATACCATTCCCCTTTTCATGATTCCAGTAGTCTACCCGACTTAAGCCTTACAACCTGGGGAACATTCTTCTTATTTTGCCAATTTGGAATTCAGAGAAATGAAAGTCATCTCCCCAATGCCAAAGGAATTCAATAAGGCAAGGGTGGAATTGAATACCTGGATTCACATTCTGTGCTCTTTCCACACCAAACTGCCTCCTCTAAAAGAAAGAGAGAGTCGGGAAATGATAGACAGATGAGAAGGCAGCATGGGGTGTAAGGGAGGTTGGGGAACTAGAATTCCACCGCTTTCTCCAGAGGGCTATTGATTCGGATGAGGTAATTTAATGGAAAGTACCTTGAAAAATCAGAAACATGCCGTACATCAGGCATAGTTTGTAACTATTCAAACAACACTAAAATTGAAGGTATATAGTTTTGTAAAATTCCACATAGTAAGTGGAGATATAAAAGAACCATACAGTGAATTAATTTGCTTAGAAACCCTATCAAAGCTGACAGCAGAGGACAATCTGCCACTGTGGAGACTTTGATAGAGCACTGGTTACATGGGCTTGCTTTCTCTTCATGATATATAGGCCCTACTGGCAGCAGAATAATTCAAATTTTCAATTTTTTTTGGATTTCATCACAAACTCAATCAAAAGTATGAAAGTCGGTATTTTAATATCCTTTCACAAATAAAAAAATAAATAAATAGTATGCCCCACTGCCTGAACCCTTCAGGCATTTTTTATTTTGATTGTCTTCCCATTATATTGAAAGATTGTCAGGATTTTATCAGGAAGATCATCCAAACAAGCTAGAACATTATTACGGTTCCAGCAGTGTAGTAAGTCACGGGATGCATGAGTGATTAAAAGCCATAGAGTTGTGACATGGACCATAAGGAGATGAGACAAGTGGTTACAGGCCTTTAAAAGGAGAAAAGGAACAAAAAGAGGAGCATGATTTAACCCTTTGTGTGCCCTTGCAGTGCAAAAGGTGTTCCATTATTTGATCACTACTTAAAGCCCTTTCGGACTAGATTCCTTATAGAAAATAAGAAACAGAGAAAAGTTCAAAACACAGTTCATATAGGATAAATAACTATTGTCTGAACACAGGGCCAGGATTCGGTTAATGATAGCTAATACATGTGATACATGCAAAATGTTACGTCCTATACACTACCTATTTTGTAATTGTTCATTGACTCTACACTTTCCTGGTTCATTGAATAATTTCTTTTTTTTAATTTTTTAATTTATTATTTTTATTTTATGTGTATGCGTGTATTGCCTGCATGTAGGTAAATGCACCCATGTCATGCAATGCCTGCGAAATACAGAAGAGGCTGTTGGATCCCCTGGAACTAGAGTTGCAGACAGTTGTTAGCTGCCATGTGGGTGCTGGGATTCGAGCCCCGGTCTTCTGGAAGAACAACCAGTGTTCTTAACCACTGAGTCATCCCTCCAGCCCCTCACTGAATAATTTCAACTTAGAAATACAACCTCACTTCATTTAGCATTAACAAAAGTGTTAATTAAATGCTTCCTATTTGGGAGCATATGATATAAGCCAAGAAAATATAACCCTTAAAGGCATGAACATTCTAGAGTGAGAGAGAAGCAATGATGGAGATTTCTACAATTAAATGTGTTTCAAAAGAATACTTACACCATTCTGTTAAAGGAAATAACCTTCTTCCTAAAGCAACAGTAACAAAATGTTAAAAGTATTCTTTTAAGTAGAGGAAAGCAGCAATTACCATATTTTTATAATAAAAATAAAGAATCCATGAAATACATTTTTACAATGACTATGTATTCATTCATGTATAATATATAGCATATTATATATAATATATACATAATTTATACTGTATATATACATCTATATTTATATAGATATATACACACACATATGGGATAGCATACTCCAAATGTAACTGAAAGCCAAAAAGGTGCTTAAACCCCCAGCCACATGAAATCAATTCTTTAAAATGTAGTTAGATAGAATGTTTTGCATGACCCTCAGGAGAACTCCACTGGCTCTATGTAAAAGACTGGAGAGGCCTAAGAAGAAAGCTTCATTCTGGAAGACCAGTAGGGTTTTACTCAATGTATAAGGCAGTTCATGACACGACAGTGAATGAGTCATCTAAATATGAAAGGGTGGGAAGTTTTTATTTTTTGAGTCAGTCTTGCTAGGTAGCACAGGCTGGCCTTAAACTCAGTCTTCTTGCCTTAGATTCCGAATGCCTGGATTACAGGGTGTACCACAATGCCCAGCTAAACAATAGCTGACCTATGGATGTCAGCATTCCACACAGGTTGAGTGTTAGATGGGGAAAGGAAAATAGGAGTTGGAGGATCCCCTGGAGAGAAAGCAATGGTATAGAGCTACATAGGGATTAGATTTTATCCAAAGATGTTTGAGTTTTGTCCTTGAGTCAGTGGGAAGCCGGAACTCAGCATTTATGTTCTAAGCATGGACACTCACAGATTTCTTTCTCAAAATAAGATGCTTCTGACTTTAGAGTTTTTTAAGACAAAGTTTTAGTTGAAAATGAAAGCTCTTAGCTGAAGGAAGTTGAGTGAGAGAATGTGAAAGGCGCATTACATTAGATCTAACAGAATTTATTCTTATTTTAGTGGCCCAGGTTGAAATCCTTGTTTGTTTGGACACTGGAGCAGAAGGACCATATGCCTACACTACAGGGTGACTAGCCCTAAAAACTTACTGAGGTCCTACTACAAAATAAAAAAAAAACAAAAAGCAAGCTAGGGATAGAGCTCAAAGGTGAAGCACTTATATACCACACAGCCCCACACAATGATTCAGTCTCCACTATGTAAAAAAATGTTTGTGTAAGAATTAGGAAAAAAAAAAAACACATCAGGGTAATACAAGGAGATTTGGAGATTTGACAATGGGACATTAAGGACACTAAACAAAGAAGCAATTAAATGGCCAGTGCTTATTGGAGATTCAGTGCCTCTGGGATATTCTATGACAACCATGAAGCACAGGTCTGATATTTAGGGGGAGACTGGGCCCTTTCCCCTCTGTTTTCCATCACTCCTAAAATAAGATAGTCAAGTGAATGGGTAAACTTTTCAATTTAAAAAGTGAAACTCCTTAAAAAAGCATTTAAGATAGTTTCTGATAATGACCAAATAAGCAAACAAAACACTGAGTACAGAAAAGATACTACAGGATATTCGTGTACTTTCCTTCTGACAGAGATTACATTATTGTCCCAATTATTCAGTTCCTCGTGGGTGGGAGACATACCCACACCCTGTGCTGTGTAATTTTACAGTGCCTTTGCTGCGGGTGGAGTGCACTTCCTCTTCCTATGAAACAGCATTGACTAAAGGAGTGAATGTGATGTAATTACTTGAATGGTTCGGCATGCCTTCTTGTGCACCTGAGATCTGTCCCTAAAGAATTTCCACTGTTTTTCCTGCTCCTTCAGTCTGCCCTCAAACTTGAAAGCCAATCAGAAGTCTGTGCTTTAATGTGAGTCTGGAAGAGCCTAGCCTGGAATAATCAAATTACAGGCCTGTGAGTGTAAAACTGAATAAACAAAAAGAACATAAAACTCTTAGTGTTAGGCAGCATTATTGCACAATACCTGACTACTGTGGCCCTTCTCAGAATAAAGAAAACAGAGTTTGGGGTTTATTTTTCTCAAGATGTGGCTGTCTATAAAGCCATAACCACCTCTTTCAAATTGCTTTCTAAATTCCAGAGAGGTATTAATAAGCAGAAAGAACTTGGAATGAATAAATTACACAAGGAAAGAGAAAAACAGTTACCTTTCAAATATTTTTAGCAGTGGGGCACGCTATAGTTCATGTTGCTCTTTAATTTATAAAATCTATACAAATTGGGAGATGCAAGTTAAAACAGGGTTTTTCAGAGGTCTATGTCTCCTCTATAGAAAGTAAAGTATTGATGAAGACAGACAGGAAGACTGGAGAGATGGCTCAGTGGTTCAAAGCACTGACTGCTCTTACAGAGGGCCCAGATTCAACTCCCAGTACCCACACTGTGGCTTAAGAACCCAACTATAACTCTAGTTCCAGAGGATCTGATGCCCTCTTCTGACCTCCATGGGCATTGCACGACAGGGGTGCACATACATGCAAGGAGGCAATGCACTCACACACATGAAATAAAAACAATGAATAAAATCTTTTTAAAAAACTAAAATAAGACAAAGAAGAGGCCACAAAAAT